CATTGCTTGTAAAATCTTGTTTTCACTTTTTAAGTTTTACCCGACGAGAAGATGTGCCATAATTTCCCGAACGCTGCACAGCCGAGTTTAATCCGTCTATTGACCTCTCGTTCGAAGTTGGACTTACCTAGTTGGACTATTTGTCCCAGGTAAACATACTTATTAACAACTTCTAGGTTAGTGCTCCAATAACTACCTGCATAAGTGTGACATGGATATTACACATGATCTTTGTTTTGTCCATGTTCATCTTAAGACCTATCCGTTGGTAGGCACTTTTGAGGTTATTGAGCATGGTACTTAGGTTCTCCTGTAATTCTGCTTTAAGGACGATATCGTCACCGAATAAATCGAAGGTGAGGTTAAAATGGTCTTTCCAATGCAGCAGCTTGAAATCGTCTGCCAATGCAGCGGTGTAGAGTTTCGGGGATGTAACGTCACCTTGTCTCACACCTCTCTGTAGTTGGATAGGTTTCTTACTCTGGTTTTGTACTCGGATATCCATCGTAGCTCTACTGTAAAACTCTTCGATATACTTATTAGCTCTTCGATATACCAATATTCAACGTGGCACCGCCTAAGGGACTGTCGCTCCGTCCAAATTTCAATGGAATCAAAGGCTTTTTCATAGTCCATATACGCAAGACATAGTGGCAGATTGTACTCCTCTATATAGTCTTCTATGCAATTGGCCAAAGAGTAATGTATGTGATCTATGGTGCCTTTTCGAAAACCGGCTTGTTCGGAAGGTTTGTGTAAGGGAAATCGGTCTGTAGTGTTTTAAGAGAGCGTTGCCTTTCTTGAAGAACAAGACCATCGCCCTCCACGTCTCCGGTGTAATACCACCATGGAGGACATAATTAAAGTGCTTTTTAAGGAATTCTAGTACCGATTTTCCACCCGCTTTCAGAAGATCCGCTATAATTCCATCCTCGGCCGAGGACTTGCCTTTTTTTTAGGCGCTGGAGAGCCATTCTAATCTCGCTCACACTGAAGTCCGGAATATTATCGGAATAGTGGCGGATAAGACTTGCTCTTGGATTGTTACTTACACTTACGTGTGGCTCCAACGATGATGTGTACAGCTGCAGATAGCACCTCTCAATCTCACTCAAAATCTCATGTGTCCCGGAAACGATGCTACCACACTCGGTCTTCAGCTTCGACAGTTGGCTCTTTCTGGCAGACAGATCTCTAGCAAAGAGTATGGAGCCATGGTTCCGCTCAATCGCTTCTTTAATACGAGCCGTATTGAAGTTGAAATTTGTATGTATATTAAGACATACATAATTATATAAAACATAAATATGTCTGTCTGGTCTCATTTTCGAAGTGACTGATTTGATTTTGATGCATCTATGTATGAACTTTTACTTTACGAACAGATAGAGAATAGCTCCAGGAGGGATTTAAGCTATATTTATCCTAAATACTTGAAAAGATGTTGTTTTAAATGTAATATAGTGTCGATTTTTAATTTATGATAAAAAAACCCAGACTGTCCTTAAAGACAGTGTTCAACAGTACTAATAGCTTTTGTAACGAGTTTAAAAGTGAGATTATATTTAAAAGGAAAGAAAAAAAATTGCGTGCCAGCGCCAGTCTATTTATTTCACGATTATGCGCAGTGAGATTTCACAGGAACTTTTTGATAGCATCTGTTTTAGAAGAACTCTATATAATCAAAATGCCATTATCAGCATTCTTAGCACCGCGACGGAAATTATATTTACATTTTAGGGAAGTTAATCAAACTTTTATATAAGTAGGACCTTAATTTTGATACTTTTTTAAACTCGCATTTCATATGCACATATTTAAATATAAAATACATTTTGGATTTTATTTCAATGATTCATCTTGACTGAAGATAACTACGCTCTCAAAGAATAGCAGAGTATAATAGCAGCATAATGGTGTGTTTCGTATGGTTTGTTGTAAAACCAGGGAACGAGTTTTTTTTGATAAAGAGCCAGTCCAGTTTACCCTTCAAAAACGACAATCAATCTGTATTTTGATTCTTAATCAAGATTAGAAATGAGATTGTATCAGCCACAGCATTCACAAACCATCAGGTTGTCTGGATGCTCGTTTGTCACCATTAATATAATAAACCTAGCAAGCTAACAGCATAGCAAAGTGGCGAAGCAATCAGCTTTGTAGCGGTTTCTAACGGTTGCCGTTGAGCAATCAGTTTCAAAATAGGAGGTTCAGATGCCGGAGTGATCAGTAATCGATTGCTGAAAACAGAATTTGAAAATTCAAAACCGTTCTCGAGATAATCGTGGGACAGAGGGACAGACGGAGAGACGAACAGACGGACAGACGGACAGACATCGTGAAATCAATAAGTGACTTCGCAAGCTTCGCCACTTAATAAATTGTGATAAGTAATTATTGCTGGAATAGCTTAAAAATTAAAAGCTTTTTTACCATCATGGATCCTTCCACAACAATGCGTAACTCTATACCATCATTTAAATTTTAGAATCTTTTGCCCTATCGACATTAATAAAAAATATATTTCCTATATTTTCACTCAACCCTCTTTACTCTCTGGTAAAGGCTGTTAAAATCGCTCACAAAAGACTACTGTCAGCACTGAATCCATCAAACCAAACTGCTTAAATTACCATAACGCCGTCCATCATACTTTCCGAACCCCAACACGCACCGTGGAACAGGATTTGCATAATGGCCGCCATAGTTTAACTATTGATTTTTACCGTTGATGTTTTCGTTGTTCTATATTATTATATTTGAGGTAATTATAGCAGAATATCAAACCACAAAAAAGATATTACGTTGCTTAATGATACCGTTACCGTTACAGCGCGTCATAGTATACTGCTAAACACAGGGCGTCTCTATAGATAGTCTTATAAAGGAGGATACTTACCAAAGTTTTCACCCATGGCTTGAGTGTTTTAGGAATAGTTTGCTGCCCATCTCCTACTTTGTTCTGTCCTCTCTTACAACACCCACGAGACGATATGTGGTAGTTGATATTCCAACTCCACCACTACACGATCACAGTGAGGCGATAATCACATAAAAACTTCTAGTTAAAAGGATAATTTAAGCGTTTAATAATTAATAGTATTTTCTGCCAACTTCCAAAAAGGAGACGGTACTCAATTCGACTGTATGTTTTTTTATGTGTGTTATAACCTCATAACTTTTTGCTGGGTGAACCGATTTTAATGATTAAAGCTGATACTTCTCTTGTGGTCCCATATGAATTTGATCAAGGTCAAACCAATAGTTTTTAAGTTATTGTTAATAACTTATATTCACTTATATTGACAAATTAAAAAAATTTTTACAACCGACTTCAATATAAAATACTAAGAATAACTCAAAAACTATTGGTCAAACCTTGATCAAATTCAATTTTATTTGAAAGCTGGTGCTTTCAAATAAAATTGAATTCAAAAAGAATCATCGAAATCGGATCACCCAGTAAAAAGTTATGAGGTAACATACAGTCGCGTCTCCTTTTTAAAGTCGGTAGAAAAGGAGTCCTACCATCTAACAATTTTACTGCCACAATAACACAAATTCAAGCCAAACAAAACTTACATAAAATTAGAGGAAATAATCCATGTAAAAAAATCCTACAAATATATCAACTGCTGATGTAATACTTTCAAACTACGCTTGAAAATTTCACAATGATATCTAAGCATGATTGATTGCCTCTCTCCGACAAGGTATCTATGTTATAAAGACTTTGCCTTTGATTTTTCTATCAATCTTTTTAAATTGACTTATGCATGAAAATCGAAAAAAGATGTCAGCGACTGTTTGAAAGAGGTTTATGTAGGAGCTTTTCTATTGTTATGTAGGATAAGGTGATTGATGACTGAATCTATTCGGGTAATAATCGCTGCCAACAGTACTAATGACGTTGTAAGCAAAAAACAATATACCAATATATAATTAAACCCATGTGATATATCTAATTACGACAGTCATTTATTAAAGGCTACTGATCGAATCAGATATTCTAGAATTTAAATTTAATAATGATAAAAGTTAGATTAACGTCTACTGATGGTACATAGGCCTCTCCCGTAAATTGCTACAAAGTGTAATTTTGAGCTATAAGCAAACATTAATTTCCTCCGTGTTTCTTAGGGTCGTCACTGTATCCATATCAGGACCATAATGAAATCTATACCAGTAAAGAAGAGCAGCACTGTTAATTTGAACGATAACGTCAAAAATCTTTTTTTAATACGTTATATCTACAATCAATTGTACTAACTAACTATACGACAGTAAACATTTAGAATATTTATATTATCATATTTTTTCATAGCAGCCTATCGAAACCCCACTCTTTAATATAGGATATACATAGGATCAAAATACATTTTCCATAGTGCAATGGTCCAAACGTAGAGGAACCGGGTAAATTTTTACCAATAGGTACATGAAGCGTCCCATTTTCTAAACGTTTTCCAAGATTACATTGTGCAAAAATGCCACCATCACTGTTTCGTCCGTAAGCGCCAACATCAACTGCAATAAATTTGTAGCATGCGTCCACTAACGCCAATAAAACAATTGAGAATGTGTGTTTATAATTAAAATATATAGAACCACTATTGGCTGGGGCTTCAATAACAAAATGTTTTCCATCCAATGCGCCTATACAATTCGGAAAACCTCTAAGCTTTTCAATATCGTCGGCAATTTTACGCCACATTTCTAGTAAATGGTACATGTTTGGCAAACAGGTTGGTCTGTTTGTTATTTTTTGTTTTAAAGACGCATGTTGTTTTTTGTTTTTAAGAGTGTGAAAGGAGAAAGTATAGGACTTACCCACTAACTTATTTAACTAATTTTTTTCTCTTTGTTACAGATTCAAAATGTAGAAGATAGAACTGGAAAGCTAACTCTTAAATCACGCTAGTCAATAAATTATGTTTGAAATGTGAAGATTAAATATGAAGCAAACATTGCATAGCAATAAGATTTTTCTAGAAAAAGCAATGGTAAATGCTACTAGAGTGCCATATTACTATAATACTGTATACCATAGTACGACAACTTATACATATCCTTCTAAAAGACCTCCTGTCTCTATAATAAAACAAATACGGAACACAAACTATATCACAACTGAAAAAACAAAAGCAGAATATCATGAGGAAGGGATTGGAAACGATACAAGAGAAAAAAGTGAAAAATTTATGATGCAAGTTGAAGATTTCAGTGATTATTTCTATGGAAATACAAGTCATGATATATTTAGTACTCACAATGGTACATTAGATATACTGAACGATGTTTATGAGTACACAAATTGCACTTTTAACGGGACGTTAAATATTTCGTGCTTTGCTCATGTGGACAATACGCCGCAGTATAATTTCTGGGCATTGTTATTGTTGATATTTCCATTTTTCACGCTGTTTGGTAATGTGTTAGTGATTTTGAGTGTTGTAAGAGAGCGGACTCTGCAGACGGTGACTAATTACTTTATCGTGAGCCTTGCTGTAGCTGATTTGCTGGTAGCAGTCGTGGTGATGCCATTTGGAGTTTATTACTTGGTAAGTAGTAGAAATTATAAACAATTTAGATTAATACATTAATCAAGAGAATTTTACTTTATGTCAGTTTCGACACTTTTATTTATCTTAATGTTTGAAAAATTTACACTACTACATAAACATCTTAGAGGTTTAATCATAAGCAAACATAGCAGTATGTACCTTTATATCCTTCAGATTCTACTCTACACTATATCCCATGTACTAGTGGCCATTCGTAGGGAAAGGGGAGATCTGCTACCGGGTAAGGTGTTCAGTTCGGGGAGCGGCCAACTGTTCATGTATTATATCGGAGCTGTTCTATATGTATATAGCACGTTAAGTTCGTGGCAGCGTTGTCGTCACGCCACATAATATTTTGTTTCACCAATTATCCGTGTAAATATTTATGTACTTAAATCTAAACCATAACATTGTTGATGTTATGATCATCCTACCCTCTTCAACAAAGAATAATCTAAGCCAATTGGATTGTCGACTGCAATAAAGTTTAAAATTTTTACAAGCGACCATAAAAAGTTTACTATGTTTGTTTTCTAGACGGTAGAGCTCCATTACTACCTGGAAGTAAAAACACCAAATGGCTTTGCATGCACAGGCTAATTACAAGCTGTGAGATACTCCATTTTAGTTTTTAGATTTAACAACGCATCTGTAATCTTCTTTGTATAAAGATGGCTAAAGTTATTTATGGGCTGAAGTAGCTACTAACGACAAGGTGAACTTCAAGTTAATTCGCCACTACATGCTTACAAAAGCTAAAATTTTCCACAAAGAATCGGCACAATATATTTATTTACCTATATTAGAGAACAGTTCAAAAAAATCCACGAAATAATATATAACGGACAGCAAATCTACACAGTGTAAATAATATTGCGAATTGAACACGAAATCAATGGTTCGGAAAGAAAGAATAGACATAATAGATATTTCAAGACGATATTGCTAAAGTACAATAATGTGACAGCAGTGTAACAGAAATTTGTCTTCACGACCAAAAGATCTTGAGGATGAATTTATTGTAGTTTTAGGAGAAATAATAACTTAGCATTACTATGTTCATTTACGACATAATATAATAAACATGTATGAAATCTGCTTCAACAAATCCTTATACAAATAGTGTTCTTAGTAGTTAGTTAACATCATCATTACAGCTGGTCAAAGTCCACTGCCAAATATAGCCCTCCCAAATAAATTAAGTATCAGCCATATTGCAGTTTTATATTTTATATAGGATAAACGTGACAAACGAGCACACAGTCCACCTGATGGTAAATGGTTGCGGTGGTCCAGGCTCCAAATGCAGATACATTGTCCCCCGTGAGGTCTAAGATGAAATGCCTCATTTCCAGTAAAAAGGGTCTCCGGTTCTCTAAACTCACCATATGAAACACAGCAGCGATAAGCTGCTATTTTACGCTAGTATTCTGTGAGAGCGTGGTCTTTCCCTGGTCGAGCCGACCCATTCGTGCTACAACTATACTACAAATATAGCTGCAGCATGGCTCTACCATGTATGATATGATTCGCGACCGGAGGATGATCAAGTGCTTATAGATATCAGCATGAAATAGCAGCTTAACGCAGCTTTGTTTCATATGGTGAGTAGTATATATCTATCCACTTACCATCAGGACTGTGTGTTCGTTTGTGACCCTTTTCTATAACATAAATTGCCTCATATGAGGAATATTTGCCTTGGTTGGCAAGCGCAGTTTCATATTGTATTGAATTGTTATCAGGAAGATGCTGCTATAAGTGAATTCCCTAACGCCACCACTATACGGCATGTAACATTAGTTACTTTAAATGAAATATAATTTCTTTTCAAATTTCAATTTTAAGTGCTAATTTACGATGTACACTCTGTACGTGCTGAAGGATAACTTTAATATGTCTGATTAATAAAACACTTCGAGGATATTTTTTTATATAAGACTGGATAAACTCATTTGGGTTGAGCGCTGGTTTAATACAGGCATTAAGGTCTCTTTATAGGGACTCTAGTGCTTGTGTCAGGATCAACGGGGTCTACTCGTACTGGTTTGGCATTCAAAAAGGTGTCAGACAGGGCTGTGTAGCTTCTCCGTGGCTGTTTAACCTATTTATGGACAGTTGTTTGCAAACTTTGAAAGTTGAAGAATGTGGGTTGAGAATGAGTGAATTAACCGTCAAATGCTTTTTGTACGCCGATGATCAAATCATATTTGCATCGTCGGCGGCCGAATTGCAACTGATGGTTACTTTAATGAACATGTCATTAAAAAAAGAGGTATGAAAGTGAACGCTAAAAGATGAAAGTGATAGTTTTTGAAAGAGAAGAAAGTAAAACGTTATGTCAAATAAGAATAGAAGGGGAGTTGATTGAGCAAGTGGATGAGTTTGTATATTTGGGATGTTTATTTAGCAGGGATGGTAGATATATATCTTACGTGGTAGAGCCATGCGGCAGCTATATTAGTAGTATAGTTGTAGTACGAATGGGTCGGCTCGCCCGGGGAAGGACAACGCTCTCACAGAAAACCAGTGTAAAATAGCAGCTTAACGCTGCTGTGTTTCGTATGGTAAGTATAGAGAACCGGAGACCCTTTTTACTGGCAAAGAGGCATTCCATCTTAGTCCTCACGGGTGACAACGCATGTGCATCTTGAGTCTTTATTGAGGATATATTTAGATGTCTATGGGCTACAGCAACCACTTACCATCAGGTGGACTGTGTGCTCGTTTGTCACCCTATACTATAAAAACAAAAAACAAAAAAACAATATGATAAGGACATAGAACGACGAGTGAATGCAGGAAATAGAGTGAATGGGGCTCTACACGCTATTATGAGGAGTCAGAATGTGTCAAATAAGGTACGTATGGCAATCCATAATGCTGTGTTAGTTACTACTTTAATGTATGGTAGTGAAAGTTAGGTCTGGCAGAAGAAGCATGAGCGTAGAATAAATGCTGTAGAAATGTGGGCATTAAGGAGTATGCTAGTGCTGAATCTGAATGACAGGGTGAGAAACAGTGTGATAAGAGAACAGTGTGGTTTGCAAGATGACTTTGTGACCAGTATTAAGAAAGGAATGCTTCGGTGGTTTGGTCATATAGAAAGAATGAACGAGGAAAGAGTGAGAAAGCAAATTTATGTGGCAGAAGTGAACGGCAGGGTCGGGAAGGGACGCCCTAGACGAAGGTTTATCGACCAAATCGGCGATACATTAAAAAATGGGCCAGATTAGGAGTACCCTTAACCGACGAGCGTGTATGCATAGATATACGGATGTAAAGGTGGCAAGAGAGGTGTCAGGATCGCGCCAAATGGAAGTCCGTAGTCTCTGCCTACCCCTCTGGGCGACAGGAGTGAGTGATTGTGTGTTTGTGGATAAACAAGCATGCAACTCACCTAATGGTAAGTAACTACCGCCAACTGGACTACTGCAACATTAGGGGAATCGCAAAAAAACTTTTAAAAATGAGTAGGCTCTTTTATTTAAGGTCCGTCTTATCGGTCCGAAAAAATCGCTAGTGGTTGTCGATTCCATAAGGAGGATATGTTAAGTCTATTAACACGCATTGGAGTAGGCGGACTTCAGAATGAGAGAAGGCCTATGCCCAGTTTTGGGACTTAATAGAGGATGTCACTTTAAACGAGTAAAACATAAAAAATTACAGATTACAGTGTGGGTGTCTTCAAGTTCTTTCAATCCTCTCTGCTCTTTCTCTTTCTACAATCAGGTGACAGGCAAGTATTTACCACATTGTTGTCGATATTCAACGCATTCGAACCAAAATGTCTGCCTCGTCTTTTGTAATGCGTACAGCAACAGAATGGATAATTTTCCGGCATCTGTCTTTTCCCTTTTCAAGGCAGGAGTGAATATAGTTTTGATACGCTAAGGCGATTCCGATTTCCTATCTAGGGCCTCATTGTCACCATGTGGGATTGTGGTTAAGCAGTATAATATGAGGTAAAGAAATTTTAAACATTCTCCCTTTTTTTTTTGATAAAATATTCGGAAAAACACGCACTTAAGGTTTTTAATATTCGGAATATAAAAAAATAATCTTAAAAGTTTTATTAAAAATAAAACCTTAGGCCTCTTTATCCAAACGTTGACGTTATCATTTCGCAATTCGGATTAACAGATTAGCTAAATATGAAGTAAGAAATTATTAATAAAAATTCTCGAGGACTGTACAGTGTACACCGTTCCAGGCCACGCTTTATATGATTGCTGGGCGAGGACCGATACAAGAAATTTTGCCATAAAAACTTTATGACGCGCGTGAATTTCGGCTGCTCGTAAAATATATGTAGTAAAATTATTTCATGTTTCACAATAGCGGGGTGGTTTGAACGATTCCAGGAATGTTGCTAAATCGAGAAGCGATCTCTTTTCATAGTAATCTGGAGCAGGCCGGTTCTGTTATATAAACTATAAAGGGATAAATTTCGCTTTGAAAATTAATTGAAAATTACTAACAATTTCTAACTTATTTATTCTGGGAACATGGGTGGGTTTACATATATTGAAACGTTTATAGTAAAATATAGTTACTCATGTCCTGCAGTTGGATAAACAAAATATTAAATTAAGTGCTACAACAAACATGAAGATTAAACAATAAAAAAAAATTAAAGACATATCATAGTCAATATTTTTATATTTAATAGTAATTGTCATATATTATTTATTTATATAAATAAATATGCGCTGGGCGGCGTTCGGAAAAAATCATTTATTTTCACGTCATGTATACCTCAAAACTTGAAAACGAGATTGTACAACCAGTGCGCGTTGCTAGTGATGACTTATGGATCTGAGACGTGGTCCTTCACTGCTGACCGTATAAGGAAGCTTAAGGTCGCTCCGCGAGCTATTGACAGCGCTATTCTCGGGGTTTCTCTACGTGATAAACTTATAAATTATATACGCAGTAGAAAGAGTGACTGACATAGCTCAACGGATTAGTAAGCTGAAGTGGCGATGGCCCCGCCGTATAGCTTGGAGAACCGACATCCTTTATCATAGTAATTGCCA